TATCAGGTTAGAATAAAGCAGAAGAAAAAGTAAAAATGAAAAATCTTTTTTATTTTTGTTTTGCTTTGTTTTGAGGCCATCCCTAGCTGTGCTTAGGGCTTACTCCTGCCTCTGTGCTCAGGAAGCTGGGTCAGTCATGTGTAAGACAAGTGCCTACATGCTATATTATCTTTCCAATCTCCCCTCCCATCTCTTTAAGTCTACAGTGAACTCTATTATTGCTAAATTGGTTTTTTCCAAATTAATTATACCAATTTTAGGGGCTGGAGTAATAGCACAGTGGGTAGGGCGTTTGCCTTGCACATGGCCGACCCAGGTTCGATTCCCAGCATCCTATATGGTTCCCTGAGCACCACTAGGAGTAAGTCCTGAGTGCAGAGCCAGGAGTAACCCCTGTGCATCGCCGGATGTGACCCAAAAAGAAAAAAAATTATACCGATTTCATTCCTATAGAATGTATGAAAATAACTTCCTATTCCATTATTTCCATATTTCCATATATTTTGCCTTTTGCATCATTCTATGAGGCCATGGGAAACATTCTTTAGGAGATCCTTCCGATAAGGAGTAGGAGGAGGAGAAGGTGAAGGCAAAGAAAAAAAAGAAGAGGAGGAGGAGGAGAAGGAGAAGGCGAAGCAGAAAAGGAAGAGGAGGAGGAAGAGGAGGAGGAGGAGGAGGAGGAAGAGGAGGAGGAGGAGGAGGAGGAGGAGGAGGAAGAGGAGGAGGAGGAGGAGGAAAAGAGAGAAGGTGTCAAAAGATAAAATACTTGCCTTGAATGCTGCCAACCCCAGTTGGATTCCTGGCACCACATATGGTCCCAAAAGCACCTCAGGAGTCATTGTCGAGCACTAAACCAAGAGTAGCTCTTGAGCAGCACTGGGTGTGACCCAAATACTCTCCCATGATCCATCTAACCCCGGGCACAGAGAAATAAAATGTGGGTGTGGAAAGAAAGCTCAGTGGACTAGGGGACAGCTTTCATGTGCTTCACAGGTCAGAGGCCCTGGTTTGATGCTCGGCTGTGCAAGGTCCTCTGTGCACAGACAGGAGCAACCCCCAGTACCAGCCAGCAGCCCCGAGGCATGGCTGGGTGTGGCCCCAGAACCAGAGAGAGAGAGAGATGAGTTGTTTAATATTCAGAGACTGGATAAAGTATTTCAGACATAAAACTTCATGCTTCCTAGATATTTCTACTCTATTTGAAAGCCACTGTGTTAGTTCCTGAGTACTTTGGATCTTTCTGTTATATATTAATAAAAAAATTAAAATAGTGAGAAATTGTACCATATTTAATATTTCTTAGGAAGGATATGACTGCTAGTGATTTTTTCTTCGCAAGAAAATCCCTTTTAAACACCTACCAAACGCAAAGGAGAGGAGTAGATGTTGATTTTACTGTGAGACATTTTTTTTTCCTTATTGGTAGCTTTCATGGGAGGTTGGGAGGCCGTTGACGCTAATGATGTCATAATGTGTTGTTTGTGCGGTAATCTGAAGTCATTAATACTTAAGCCTTTTTTGTTTTTATGACACCCAGACGTGCTTGGGGCTTATTCCTGGCTCTGTACTCAGGAATTACTCCTGGCTGAGGTGGGGATGGGGGAACCTTCTATAGTGCTGGGTATTGAACAAGGATCAGCTGCATGCAAGGCAAGCGCCCCACCTGTTGTACTTCTCTCCAGGCTAGGAAGGTTTTTGTTTTGTTTTAGGCTATACTCAGTGGTGCTCAGGTCTTACTCCTGGCTCAGCTCTCAAGGATCACTCCTGACTAGGTATAAGGTGTCATAAGGGGTGCTGGGGATCAGAATCGGGTTGAACATATGCAAGGCAAGAGCCCTATCTGCTGCACTCTCTCTGTCCCCTAGGAAGACTCTTTTAAACAAAGTAGAAATTAGATTCCTCCCTTTATTCATTGATTTGCTCAAGCGGGCACCAGTAACGTCTCCATTGTGAGACTTGTTTTTTTATTTTTCTTTTTTTGCTTTTTGGGTCACACCCAGTGATGCTCAGGGGTTACTCCTGGTTCTGCACTCAGGAATTACTCCTGGAAGTGCTTGGGGGACCATATGGGATGCTGGGAATCGAACCTGGGTCGGCCACGTGCAAGGCACATGCCCTACCCGCTGTGCTATGGCTCCAGCCCCCTTGTTACTGTTTTTGGCATATCAAATACATCACAGGTAGCTTGCCAGGCTTTGCCATGTGGATGTGATACTCTCGGTAGCTTGCCGGGATCTCTGAGAGGGGTGGAGGGATCGAACCTAGGTTGGCTGTGTGCAAACGCCCTACCCACAGTGCTATCACTCCAGCCCAGGAATAAAGATCTCTAGTATATGGATATGTATATGGGTTTTACTCATACTTGAAATGTTAATAAAGACACAGTTTGGGGGTTGAGACGCTACTGAGATTTAATATGTTTCTGGATGATTCCTGGTTACCAGGAGCATCCAACTATTCCTCAAGGACCCAGTCACTTTGCACAACAAAAAGAAGTTTGAGGGGGGAAACAGACTATATAACTTCCTCTCACAGAATAACTTGTTTGATAGTAGCACTGTAGCACTGTCCTCCTGTGTTCATCGATTTGCTCTAGCGGGCCCAGTAACCTCTCCATTGTGAGACTTGTTACTGTGTTTGGCATATCGAATACCTCACAGGTAGTATGATACGTACTTGTATTGTACATTTTAAAGTACCTTTTAAAGATAATGTACATTTTTGTACATTTATTTAATTGTACATTTTAAAGATCCTTCTGGGAGATGCGTGCTGAGAGTGGATTCTAGACCGAACATGATTGCCACTCAATGCCTCTTTTGCAAACAGCACCCAAAAGGAGAGAGAGAACAAAGGGGAATGGAATGCCCTGCCACAGAGGTAGGGTGGGATGGGGGTGGGAGGGATACTGGGAGCACTGGAGGTGGAGAATGGGCACTGGTGGAGGGATGGGTACTCAATCATTGTATAACTAAAACCCAAGCGCAAAAATTTGTAAATCTGCAACTGTACCTCAAGGTGTTTCACAAATAAAAATAAAAAAAAAAAAAGACCCTTCTCTTTCGGGTCTTATTGACATGAAAGAAGTTTTAGAGAACAAGATGATTTTAAGAATGGAAGGAGAAGGACCATAGTAAGACCGTTGAGTGTTTGCCTTGCATGTGGCAGACCGGTTTCAATCCCTGGCACCCATATGGTCCCTGGAGCACCTCCCAAACTGATTCCTGACTGCAGTAGCTGTAGCATTTCCGAGTGTGACCCCAAGACTGAAAAATAAAATTAAAAACATTTTAAAGTGGAAGGATAGGGGCCAGGGAGCTAGCTGAGCGCTGGGCTGAAGGCTGCACGCAGGAGTCCGGGGCTCTGTCACAGCACCACGGTTTTGAGTGCTCCACAGGAGTCATCCCTGAGCGCTGCACTGGGAGAAGTCTCAAAATACCGATGAGTGTCCCCCACCCCCAAAGGCAGGGTGGATATTTATACTGCTGCTGTATTTGTCAATTTATAGATATTTCTTAAATGACTGCCAAGCTAATGACAGCTTTTTTAAATAAATAAGCTGGTAAATGTCTACTCATGTCCTTTTTATAGTACATGAAGTACAAGCTTTTGGCTTTCACTTACCTCTTTATAAACCAATGACATCTTCAATTCTGGAACAGCTTTTTAAAATACGGTTTCTCACAAATGTTGGCGGAACCGGTACATTCCCCAAATAACTTCAGTATGCTCAGCTTTCCCTACGCAAACACATCCCTAGGTCAAACGACAGCAACACTGTCCATCACACAGTGTCTAAAGTGAGAGAAAATCTAACTGCATACGTTAGAGAAGTACGTGTTAGAGAACACTATAACAATTTAAAAAATCTACAGCCTAGGATGTGGCTCAATGGTGGTACCATGTGGGTACCAGTACCTGCCTGCCATGATGAGACCTGATATGGCAAAAAAAATTTTTTTTTAATATTTTTACCTAAATGGTCCATGGTTAGAGCTTCCCGCTAAAGCATGTGCTTTACCACGTGGGAGGCGCTGGGTTAGATCCCAGGCACTTAAAATTTAAACTCAAAAAGTTAAATGTCTTGGGACAGAGAGATAATACAGTGGGTAGGGCTTTTATTTTGCTCGTGGCTGACCTGAGTTCGATCCCCGGCACCACATTTGGTCCCTGAGCGCAGAGCCAGGAGTAACCCCTGAGCACCACCAAGTGTGTCTCCAAAACAAAACCAATGAAATTGTCTTACCCAGGGTCAACTTTCCGATCGGTCGTGGCTACCATAACAACCATTCAACTATTATTACACGTGGGAGTTTAAAACTCCGTGAGCGGGGTATAGGGAAATCGCGCACAGACAAAAGTGATGTCTTTTCCAGGCAAGACTTTCAGGCGCCACAAACTAGACTTTCAGAGCGTCGTGGGCTCCCAAATCCCACCAGTTCCTTGTACCAGGAAATCTTGTTTCTCTTCTCATCAAATTAGGAATCCGGGGGGTGGGGGAAAAACAAAACAAAACAACTCTTCCAGTTCCTCAAAACCAAAAAGCAACCCCGAAGGTGTGAGAAGGAGCCCGGGGGTGGGGGAAATGCCATCGGGAAGAGAAAACGTGTGTACACCTGTGCTCGGAAGCGCACACCACGCGACATCAAAACAACGCCCCGGGGCCGGACAATGTCAGGCCCCCGGCGCTCGAGACGAGACAGAGGACCGGCCTCCGCGGGGACTCGCTCGGAGCCCGAGCTAGCTAACGAGCCAGACAGCGGCGGCGGCGGCGGGGTGGGCTGCGCGCCGACTCCCGCGAACGGGCAGTGATTGAGCGGACTGACAGCGCCTCGGAGCGGCGGCCCCGCCCCCGCGCCCCGCCCCCGCGCCGCGCGCCAGCCAATCGGCGCGCGCCGTCCCCTTCCCAGCGCGAGGCCCCGCCCTCCGCGCCTGGGCGGCTGGGCCCCCGCGGCGTGACGTCAGCACGGCGGCTCCGCCCCCTGCGTCTCTGGCCTCGCCGGCCGGGGGGGAGGGGGCGGGGGATGGTTCCATCATGGCGTCAATGCAGGTGAGAGGAGTTTGCAGCATCTGGGGCGGGCGAGGGAGCCGCCGAGGGGATGCGAGCGCTCCGCGGGGTGGGGGGAGCGGCGTCTGGGGGGCTCGGGGGAGGGGGGGGCTCCCCCGGCGGGCGCGAGAGCGAGCCGAGTCGCCGCTCCTTGGGCAGCTTCGGGGGCGTTAGGGAGGAGTGCGAGGCGGCGAGGAGGGCGGGTGTGTGTGTGTGTGTGTGTGTGTGTGTTGGGGACTGGGGGTGGGGGTTTGTCGAGGTCGGTCGAAGCGGACACCCGTGAGCCGGGAAGTTGGGGCATCAAGGAGAGGCTCCGCGCCGGAGAGGACGAAGTTCGGCGTGGCGGTGGCGGCCGTGGGCTCGGAATCCCCGCACGCCCGCCCGCCCGCCCGCGGCGTCCCCGGGGATGCAGTCTCCTCGGCGGAAACAGCTGCTCCGCCGCCGCCGCCGCCGCCTGGCTCCCTGGCGGCCCCCCGGACCGGGCGCGGGGGGCGCCGACGGGCTGCACGGGCGCTCGGCGGCCTCGGCTCCAGCCTCGCTCCCTCGGGCCGGCCCGCGGGGGCTGCTCGGACCCGGCGGCCCCTGCCCGGTCCGTGCGCGGGTCTCCGCCCCGCCGTCCGCCCCGCCGCCTCACTTTCCACCCCCCTCCCCCCCCCCCACTCCTCCCGAGCTGCCCCTGCGTCCCCCCGACATCCTTTTCCGCCTACTTCTGCCGTCGCCCCGAGAGCTGACGCCGCCGGGGTGTGGGGAGCGCGCTCCTTCGCCCGCTCGCTCGCTCCTGTGTGTGTCTCTGTGTCTCTGTGTGTGTGTGTATGTGTGTGTGTGTCTCCTTCCCTCCACGGCCCCACCCTGGCGTTCGCGGCGAGGCGCCACGCCAAGCCATGTGCCACCCCCCCTTTCTCCTCCGGCGCTCGGGTGGCACCTTGGACGGGACCGGGAGGCGGTTTGTGTGAGCCGGGGTCGCGTCCGCCTCGCTCGAGAATGCAGGGCTGCTCCGCGTTCCAACTTTTTTTTTTTTCTCCACCCCCATCCCCCCCCACCACTCCCACTCCCCCTTTCGGCTCGTGCCTTCTTCCCAGAGGCAGGGGTGGGGGCTTCGGGCTTAAGATGGCAACCGCAGTTGGGGTTTCCCGGCGGGGGTGGGGGAGGGCTCTGCGTACTCTGCAAGTCTGCAGGTCATTTTGCAAAAACGGGAGTCCAGCGCCCCGGGAGTCCCGCGCCCTGCAGTCTTGGAAGAGGTCGACCGCTCCCTGGGAGTTCGTCGAGCGCTTTTTTTTTTTTCCTTCCGGACTTAACCAACCTCTGGACCGCGTCTTATTTGTAGGATTTCGAGCTTTTTTTTTGGTTTGTAGAGGAATAGGCGATCTTCCTAGACGACCCCCCACCGCGCCCCACCCTTTTTTTTTTTTTTGCTGGGTGAGAACTTTGTTACTTTTCATCTCTTTTTCTGCGCACATCTGCTTTACTTTTGCTTCTAGAAGCCATCTCTTTGTACTGGTTCTCCACACAATATACTTTGTACCTTAGTTTCCACAACCCAGACCACCCCCCCCCCATTTTCCCTGCAGAATAGGGAGAAGAAGCAAAACAAAACTTGGCATGTAACATTCCTCGCTGAAGAGATGTCAAGAAAAAACGAGAACAATTTCAGGAAACTATACACTAGTGTTCCCTTAGTAGAGAAGTTTCATCATTTGAGGCCAAAAAAAGGAACTGTGGAACACACTCTGATCTGTAGACAGGCCGGATGAAAAATTTCAGAGTAAAACTTGAGATTAAAATTCACAGTATAATGATTTGACACGATAAGGTGGAGGATAACAAAAGCGCTTGTTAGCATTAGACTTCAGTGTGACTGGAAAGGGCGAGTTTCAGGGTTTTGTTTGTTTTGGGGCCACACCCATGGGGTCTCCAGGGCTGTGCTTAGGGGACCATGTGGTACCTTGGAATCAAGGGCTTAAACATGAAGCGAATGCTTAGGCCATTTGAACTATTCCCCAGGTGCCCCAGGTTTCGGTTTTAAAGAGAAAGTTAAACTGAGTCACTAGAGAAGCTATATTGATAATTTTGAAATTTACATGGAGACTTAAGCAATGGGAAAAAAAATACTTCCTAGTGCAAAATTGCATTTTCCTGTGTCCAAAGTACTACCTCTGTCTTACCTTATCGTTTGTACTTTCTTATTAGAGGAATGGAAAATGACGGTTCCTCTTAACTAAACAAAAGAGTCCTTCTGCTTGTATTTTTAGAATCTGATAGATTTCTTGATAGTGTTTTAGTATAAAGATTTGTTTTAAATACAACACTGTGATTATTCTATCTTTGATGAACAAAAGTTTTTCCTGACCACCTTCATAGTAAAGTTTTAACTCTTTTAAGTTACAAAAGTCCAACTGAATAGTGAAGTTTGTTCATTCACTCTTTTAGTTTCGTGAGGGCTACCCGTTTGTCTGACACTTGTGGTTCTGGGGTTATAGCAGTGAACAGAGGCAGACAAGATAGGCTAGTTGAGGGCCAGAATGATAATATAGTGGGTAGGACACTTCGCACGTAGCAGACCTGGGTTTGATCCTGTGCACCATGGACAATCCCTTGTGCACCAGTAGGGGTGAATCCTGGTCCCTGAGCACAGCTAGTTGTGGCCCCAAAACAAAAACAAAGGCTTGTTGAAGGGAGATGAGAGCAAAGTATTTGAGTTAATTACACCTTCGAGTTAATTGCACGCCAAAAGGTAATAGTGCCAAGGAGAAAAGGACCGGCAGTTTAGGAAATAGATAATTGGGATTTCAGATAGAGTGCTTAGGAGTGCTATAATGTTGAGTACCTCTTGGGCCAGCTCCGTACTTTCAAAGCTCCTAGTTGATTTCTTTATCTTATCAACATCAGGAGATTGCTGCTGCTAAAGCTGTCTTTTAAGTTTTTAGGAGAACTGTTAAAAAACACATCTCTTATCCTAACAACAGTATTTGATAATTTGAATTGATTAGAAGTCCGAACCAAGTAATAAAATCCAGGGTTTTCCTTTCAACTTCTTTCTGGAGACACTCTATGTTTCAAAGTTGGGGGTGTTAACTGCTCTCTTGTATACTGTCAGCACACATAAGTGTACCCCCATCCCTTCAGGTCGTGGAGCATGTAAGATTTTATTTTTGAATTAGACATTGACGTGGGTAAGGTGGTTGGCTGGATGTTCCTGACTGGGCAGCCCCGCATGAAACCTGGGGGATCTGTAATAATGCTTGCTCCCCAATACTGCCAGAGCAGTTCTTCTTAAGTCAAACTGTGGTTTTTCAAAAGGTGCGTGAGCCTTTTGAGATGTTCTCTCCTGTGGTTAACACTCCCCCCCCCCCCCCCCCCATTCCACTGTTCTTGAACAAAGGCATGAAGGACCAAGTAAGGTTAATATGGTTAAGTTGTTTTAAGAAACCATTCCTTGGAATTGGTCCAGTACTTCACACTGGAAGGAGTCAAAGATCTAAATAAACACACATTTTGTTTTGATAATTCCTGGAATCTTAAAACATTAAATAGAGGGCAGAAGACAGAGTACAGTAACTCCGGCACTTGACTTTACACTAAGCCTACCTGGATTTGATCCCCAGAACTGCCTATGGATCTGTGATCCCAGAGCCAAGAATAGGCTCTGAGCACTGCTGGGTGTGGCCCCGGAAAAAAGCAGTCATTAAATGAAACGTTGTAGCAAGTTTTTCCAGTGCTATTCCTTTGCTAGAAATCAAACCCAGGGTCTCACGTGCACATGTAGGGTCCCACCTGCCAGTGTTCCCCAAGTTTTTAATGGTAGTCTTTTATGGACTTTGATTATTTGATACAAGCTTTCTGCCCAAGTTGCAAAAGCCTTACTGAAGGGAAACTATTTATGTTATTTGAAACATTTCTTTAAATTGTAGCAGTATGAAAGTGGTTCTGTTTCAGTCAGCTGGTGAATTTGTATCTTTTGAATTGTTTCATTTTGTACTTAGTCCACACCCCCCTCCCCTGCCTTGGATTGTTTCATTTCCTGAAGTAGCTAGCTAGTTTGATTTGTGTGTAATTTGATTTGTATTGTCTTTTTCTCTTTGGGGGGGGCACACCCACTTATGTGGCCCCTGATTTAGCAGTTTCATTCAGACTTAAGTTGGAATTTTGAAAGTATCCTTGTTAATGCCTTTCTAGTTTGACCTAATTTAATTTTTGATGTGTATTCACCTTATGTTTTATATTTGTAAAAAACCAGTGTATAGAGACTGAAGTAATAGTACATTGGGTGGGACTCTTGCCTTGCACCCAGCCTGCATTGCACCCAGCTGATTGAGGTTTGATTCCCAGCATCCCATATACTTCTCGGAGCACCGGAGTAACCCCTGAGCATTACCAGGTATGGCCCCCAAGCAAACAAAAAAAAAATAAGTGCATAATAGTTTTTTTCTTTTCAATAGTTTACAAATAGATACTTATTAGCTCTGAAAAACTGAGGTTTGGAGCCAGAGTCATAGTACGGCAGGTAGAACGTTTTCCCTGCTCATTATCCACGTAGGTTTGATCCCCAGCACCCGGTATAGTCCCCCGAGCAACCCAGGAGTGATCATTGAGCACAGAGTCAGGAGTAAGCCCTGAGCACCACAGGGTATGGTCCTCCAAACCAAAAAAATTAAAATGAAATAAACAGATATAATGGTGAGAAATGGTTAATTAGGTTACTCTTGTGGATTCTCTGCGTTTTCTTTTGCTCTCTTTACCTAATTTGGTCTAGTTAGATGACAGGAGAAAGAATTTGTAACAGAAGATAGATTGTGAATGTGTTCTTATTTTCAGCTGACTGAGAAATTATTTGGCGTTATTTACAGCTCTGCTTTGCTCTTTCCTCAAGTAATTGTAGTGATTGAGAGGTGGATTATGGTTTTTACCTACATACTTATTGTAGTTCTGTGCTTTGACAACTAGATACCATGGCTGTTGATAGCATTTTGAGGGATTATAGCATGATCAAAAGTTAGAAAATTTAC